GAGTGTAGAATTTAGCTAAAGGGCCACTGTTTTTAGCCAGTAAGGTTTAGGAAGTAACTAGAAAGAGTTAAATTTTTTAAGAGTTAACAAAGTACTGAAACACTGGAAGAATTATCATATTTGGGCATAATGGATGTGGGAACAACGAGAGGGCAATTGGACAGTCGAGAATTCCAAAATTGGATGCGTCAGGACTGACTGAATTTGGCAGCCGCTTAAATATAAGCGGTGCAAGAGTGATCAAAGTCTGTTTTTTATTTATGTGAATTCATTCCTTTATTAATAACACAGGCATCCTCCCTTAGGTCGTGGCAAATTTGAAGCGAGAATTGGAAGAAGCAAAAGAGCAAGTAAACGAAAGCGATAATGTGATCATCAGTCTGGAAAAGGTAAAATGAAGCTCTGCTAGTCCATTTTAGAGTATTTTTGAGGAAACCCGGTCATTAGTGATATATTTTTGCGTAATTTTATTTCTTTTGCAAGGCTTTAGGGATTTGGCTACATTTAGGGGCAGGAACATCAACTAGCTTTTTTTGAACTCAGAATTGTTGCTCCAGGAACGTGATTTTTATTTCTCGAAACTACGACAAATTGAAATGCTATGTCAAGACAATGAACAGATTGGAACCGTTGAAGTGGCGCGTGTGCTTGCGGTATTTCTTTGCGCTTTTCAAATAGCCTGTGTTTGCAAATTGTTGAAATTTGACTTGTCGAGAACTTTCTTACTTACTTACTTTGTTCCTTTGGTCAATTCTTGGTGTAGCGTGGCATTCTTTCGTGCCATTTAGAGAATGCAGCATACTCACTTTTGCTCTAATTGCAGTAACATCGCCTAGTGGTGATTCTGGCTTTCTTTCCCTCACTTTTTTTTGTTCGGGAGAAATGCTAAATGTATCGTATTCTAGTCACCGTTTATGTGACTCTTCCTCTTACCTGTTGGTCTTCTTCCTGCCTTCTTTTGTAGCGGTTGCGCTGGTAAGAGGTCTGTCAAGAACTAATCGTTTTGGAA